GTGGCTGGTGCCTTAGCCACTTGAGTCACAGGCGCCGAGCCTGTTCTTTTGTTTTTTTAAGACTGTGGGTCTGTAGAGTGCAGTGAGTATCATCATAATTCATGCAATCTCAAGCTCCTGGGCTTATACAATCCTTCTGCCTCAGCCTCCCTAATAGCTGGGACTATAGGCATATGCCACCATACCTGGCTAATTTTCCTTATTTATTTATTTTTTTTTTGTAGAGTCAGGGGTCTCACTATGTTTCATAGGCTGGTCTTGAGCTCCTGGCTTTAAGAGATCCCATTTCAACCTTCCAGAATGCTAGGATTACTTATAGGCATGTGCCACTGTACCCAGTCGTGTAGTTTCTTTTCTTTTTACTTTTGGAGACAGTGTTTTATCGCCCAGGCTAGAGTGCCATACCATCAGCTTAGCTCACAGCAACCTCATACTCCTGGGGTCAAGCAGTCCAGGTGCCCACCACAACATCTGGGTTACATAGTTTTCTTTTTTTTTTGAGGGGTGGGGAAGGGGCTGGAGAGGGTGTGGTAGGGAGCAAGCTATTTACTTTTTTCTTTTTTGTTTAGTTTCTTTTTTTTTTTTTTCTTTTAAGATGGAGTCCCAGGCTGTCACCCTGGGTAGAGTGCCATGGAGGCATAGCTCATAGCAACCTCCAATTCTTGGGCTTAAGCGATCCTCTTATGTCAGTTTTTCTATTTTTTTTTGAGACAGAGTCTTACTATGTCACTCTCAGCAGAATACTGTAGTGTCACAGCTCACTGCAACCTCAAACTCTTTGGCTTAAGTGATTCTCTTGCCTCAGCTACCCAAGTAGTTGGGACTACAGTCGCCCACCATAATGCCTGGCTGTTTTTTTTTGTTGTAGTTGTCATTGTTGTTTAGCAGGCCTGGGCCAGGTTCGAACCTGCCAGGCCCAGTGTACGTGGCCAGCACCCTAGCCGCTGAGCTACAGGTGCTAAACCAGTTTTTCTATTTTTGGTAAAGATGGGGGGGGTCTCCCTTTTGCTCAGGCTGGTCTTGAACTTGTGAGCTCAAGCAGTCCACCCGCCTGAAAGGTGCATAAGAGGATTCCTAGGATTACGGGTGTGAGTCACCATGCCTGGCTTGCCTTTTTATCCTTAAGTAGGTTTTAAAAACAAAGGTATTCCATACTTAAACTGTTGAAAACTTTGGAAACACAGTATAGTGTCAAAAACAAAACAAAACAGTACTCCATCTAGAGATTATCAACTGTGAACTTTGTGGTGTATTTTATTTTCATTCCTCATGTATGTATGTGGTTGAGTTCATGTCTGTATATAGTTTTATATGGTGTGCTTTTCACTTAACAAATATTTCTCTGTATTATTTACAGTTTTGTCATAAAAATGTTTGTCAAAAAATGTTTGATGACGTGGGAACTTCAATTTTTTTTTTTTTTGAGACAGTGTCTCACTTTATTGCCCTTGGTAGAGTACCGTGGCATCACACAGCTCACAGCAATCTTTAACTCCTAGGCTTAGGCAATTCTCTTGCTTTAGCCTCCTGAGTAGCTGGGAATACAGGCACCTGCCATAACACCTGGCTATTTTTTTGTTGCAGTTTGGCTGAGGCTGGGTTTGAACCCCCCACCCTCGGTATATGGGGCCAGTGCCCTATCTACTAAGCCACAGGTACCGTCCTGGGAACCTCAATTTTTTTTTCTTTTGAGACAGAGCCTCAAGCTATTCCCCTGGGTAGAGTGCTGTGGCATCACAGCTCACAGCAACCTCCAACTCCTGGGCTCAAGCAAATCTCCTG